TAGCACTCACCCATAAATCATCACAAAAAGGAGTAAATGTAACTGTTACAGACGGGCCGAAGCCGAAGGATCAATGGTGTTCATTACAACAGAAGTTTAAAAAATTTACTAAGTACAGGTTACGAATCAACAACGGCATTCCCGGAGGCGTCCTCTACTGCAGGTTTTGACGCAGCGTCATCCCCAATTTCCTCCTCTTCGTCACTGCCCTCGGCCATCAGCAGGGAGTCTTCCAAATCAGGCCTCGCAACGCCTTCAGGGAGGGGAACCCTGGGGTCTGGCTGAAGGGGAGGGAGACCATAGGATGCCGGATCAAAGGCCTTCGGGTCCACCCCAAAATGTCGGGATAGCCTTCGATATACAAGGGCCTGAGTAAAGTACTCACCCCCGTCATAATACTCTTTCCCCTTTCGGGCCAACCACATTGCGCCTGGGCCTTTCACCCATTCGTTCACCGAAGCTTCCACCACCGAGGCCACCCATTCCTGCCGGCCTTCGGCTTTCCATCCCTCCTCAGCAAAAGCGGCGACAGCGTCCTCCCGGGCTTCGGCGACAGCTTTGATCCGGGCCTCCTCGGCATCCTCCGCGGCCTTCTTGGCAGCATCGGCCGCAGCCTTCTCCGCCTCTGCTTTGCCTTCGGCTCTGGCCACCGTCTTGGAGCCCTCGAGGATTTCTTTGAAAGCCTCTTGCTCAGCTTTGCGAGCGTCCTCGGCCTCCTTGAGCTGCCTTCGGGCCTCAGCCAGTGCTTCAGCGGCTTTCTTCTTCTCCGAGTCATGCTGTTCTATCCTCTGGACCAGCTCGCCAAGGCCAAGGCTCGCCTGAAAGCAGACATGAATTACCGGAGGTTTAGCCACTACACATGTAAAGAATGAAGTTATCTACAAAAGAGAGGGAAGGAACCTTACCGTAACCGAGGCCATCAGAACCTTAGAGCAGAGGACATCGTCGGCCTGACGGGAGAGCACAGACTTATCGGTCGAAGGGGTGGCACCCCTCAAAAACTCCTTCGGGTTCAGGGTCCCGTGCATGATAGCAGTCCCCTTCGTGATGGAGAATTGGACTTTGTCCAGGGGCCATGTCAGATCAGTGGCTTGACCCGAAGGCTTGGGAGGAGAAGATTCGTCTACGACCACAACGGGGGCTTCCTTCGACTCCGGGGCCCCCTTCTTCTTCTTCTTCCCCTCCGGTTGTGCCGGGTCCTTCCCAAGCCTTTTCCTCTTCGGCTCCAGACCGGGGGAGCCCCCGACGGCGGCCTCCGGGACGGGCCCCACCTCCTTGGCCTCTTCGGCCGCTCCCGCCTTGGGGAAGATCTCATCGACCGCCCTCTGCTGTGCGGGGGCCTCCTTTTTCTGCTCCTCCCTGGCAAGTTGCCTCTTCAACTTGACAAGGTTTCGAGCGTCCATGTCTGGTCCTGAAACACATGAAGGCACACAAGGGTTAGTTCACTACTACAACAAAGCAAAAAAAGGGGGGGAAGAGATTTTTCTAAGTATGAAAATTGAAGCCCTCGGCATTACAACAACCTTCGGCACTCTCATATACGCGATCAATCATGGGGTAGCCTTCCTCCTTCTCCCCCATCAGCCGGTACCGACGGAAGCCGAGCTTGTACAACTCACTGGAGAGCGTTGCGCTTTTGATGGACACATGCTTATCGGAACCCTCCGGCTTCTTGGACAACACCCGCCCATTTTTTTCGAGGGCATACCCTTCTGCCTTCAGGTGCCGCCGAAACCTATCACCAAGCGGGGCGGAGAAGGGGTTCTCGGCCAACCGGATATAACAGAACTTGTCCTTCCACCCCTTGTGAGACGAAGGCGCCTCATCAAAAATCCTGAACCTCGGGAGCTGCTGCAAATTACCATAGCCCCCGGCATTCGAATGCCCCCCCCCCCGACATAAGTTGAACGACAGGAAGAATTGCTCCAGAGTAGGGGGGACCCTTCGGCTGAGGCACAGTGACAGGAACCCTGCCAGATATGAGTGACTGTTCGGGGTCAACTGGCAGGGGGCTAGCTTGACGAAGCGTAGGTACTCCAACACGAAAGGATGAAGGGGAAATCTGAGACCCAGCTCCACCGAAAGCAGATGTACGGCAAAACAGCCGTCGGGGGCACGAAGGAGCACATCATCCGGCTTTGGCTCTACCACTTGCGCCGAAGGCCCTACCAAAAATTGTACCGCCATCATTTCCCCTCGGGTAGCTTTATTCTTGACCTCCAAGGCGGCCGTATTCAGGAAAGAATAGCCCTCGGGCAGTCCCAGTGGCTGGCCAGCGTCGACGGCAGCTTGCTTCTTCTTCGGAGCCATCCTCGCCTTCTTTCTCTTCTGCCCTGGGGCCACACTGAGGGGTACAACGTCTATGGGCCGGGAGCTCCCAGCTTCAGTACCACACCGAGGGGGAGGGATAGCTACAGTCACCTTCAGGCCTTCCTTCTGGGCCTCGTCCTCGGCCACTTGACAGGCGATAGCAAGCTCCTCATCCGCGTTCACCTACTCGAAGTCTTCGGCCTCGAGCTCAAGCCGAAGGTCACCCTGTATCGCCTCGGCCACGGCCCTATCATCGATGACCGAGAGCTGCTCGCTCGAGGATTCCACGTCAGACGACACTTCAATGTTCACTGAAGCCTCCCCGGAGATGTCTTGGGAATCACTAGCTGACGACATTACTTCTAAAAGGCGAGGGGTCGGGAAACTCGTACAAAGGGGGGGGGGGGGGGGGGGGGGGTTCCTGAAGGGTCCTAAAGACTAACCCTAAGGCCAAAAGCTAAATACTCAAATGGAGCTAAGGGCGGAAGGAGAACTGACCTCTGAAAGCCGAGTTTTGATCGAAGGCTTGAGTTTCTCTCTCTAGAATTTTTGGCAGAGCTTCGCTAGGGATGTTGGATGCGTAAAGAAGGAATGGCCTTGGCTTGGGGTATTTATAGGCTCCCAGATCCGGGCTTGGGCCGAGATCCGGGCTCCCAGCAGCCAAAGCCATCATTATGCACCGTCGTTTCACCCAACCGGTGACGCCCGCCCACGAGCAGCCAACGGCTACACTCCACGTGTACCCCCCCCCCCAACGGCTATAAATCTGACGCTACATATTCCAACGGCTATATTTCACCCGGCTATATTCTGGAAGCCCCCGGGTTTTCTACTTCACTCCACTTCATCAAGGAGAGCCTCCGGGTACACTTACCCAGAGACGCCCCCGGGTTGTGCCCCACACAGCCCATAACAGATGCCTTCGGGATCACTCCTTCAGAAACCCAAGGCTTCATATCAGGGCACCCCTCGGGGATTCCCCCTCAGCACTATAAAAACCGGGTAGCCCCCGGGGAGTTGCCTCATTGACGGATAGCCTATGGCACACAGGTAATGGGGAGCCCTCGGGTATCTTCATCACCAACTAATCAACAAACAGTGGACCCCCCGGTAACGACTCCACTGCTGCCCTCATCCATCAGGCCCTCGATCCCCAGATTGAGGGGCTCCCCTTCGGAGCTCCCAGGACATCAACAACAAGCCTTCGGCCAATCAACACATGAGCACTCAGAAGAAGAAGAGCCTTCGGCATTACCGTTATTCTCCATTTTTGACCAAGGTTTCACATTTTCGATTCATCATTGGGGGAATTCGGTGCACTCTTTTTCCCTCACTAGGATTTTTTCCCACAGGGGTTTTCCTAATGAGGTTTTTAATGAGGCATCCCCCCAAAATGAAACGAAAAGCGTCAGCCTTCGGCCCACAACAGCAACGCAACTACTCTACTCCTTTTCACCACTTTACAAGTGCCTCAAGGAGTGGGGGACTGGAGAACCCCCTCGGGAAAATCATTAAATTACAAAATGGGTGAAAAAATTCCAACAAAACGGCAAAGCGAGCCCTCAAGTCCCGACATGTGGGTAACTGAGGGACTGCCTTCGGCAGGGGCGTGAAAGCAACAACTCCTCACCAACTTCAGAGGTTACGACAGGACAACATCAAAGGGCAAGCACAAATTACTCCTTTTCCCTCAAGTACCTTTCGGCAAAAGGAGTGAGGGACTCCTGATGGAGTATATGGCCCGGGAACCCCCGGCCCACAGACTCCCACTACTCCAGTAAAGGCCCAACAGGCCCAGAAGGCCCAACAGGCCCAAATCATGGCGCCCGGAGTACCAAGCAGCCCACAGCGCACCAGGGGTGCCTTCGACCCCCTGGCCGAAGGCTCTAAACTCTCACAGGACGGGTTTCTCAAGCAAACCAAGAAACTGGGAGAAAACGGCGAGAACAGTAGCCCTCGGAATCAGGAGCCCTCGGCACCGGGGTGCCCTCGGTTTGAGAAGCCCTCAGCTACTGCTCTACAGCCGAAGGCATCTCACTCGACAAGATCTCCTCTTCACGCGCGTACAGATCACCGTACCCTGTGCAACGTCCCATCCAACAGCCGCATTAAATGCGGCCACATGCGTTTGTCAGCGCCAACCGGATGAGGTGACCTCTCGGCCAATGGATGCTTGACACGTGTCCCTGTCCGGCATTTATTGCTACTATAAATAGCCCCCCATTTCCCCATTTGTAACCACGACATTCATACTGAATACACACTCTCTCTTACTTACCTGTGCTCTGACTTCTCTCTAAGTTATTCCCAGCAATAACCCTTCAGATATATACCCCCGGGTAGACTATCCATCAATGATAAAATGAATTGTTGGTTAATTAATATTACATTAAAATAATAATTAGTTATTTTGATATTTTGATTTAGTACCATAATTAGATTAAATAGAATTGGATGGATGTTATTTTCACTATTTATTGGATTAATTGAAGTAGAAAATTGAATAGTTAATTCGGATATTTTATTCAAATACTATAATTAAGGGCTGAATTAGTAAGGTATTTTGATTAATAAAAAGTGATTAATTCATATAAATAATTAATTAAATTAATAAATTCGAATAAGGAAACAAAAGGGAAAATTGGATAAACTATTGAATAAGTGACTAATTATATCATCTTAATTAAAAAGGTGATTATTTAGAGACCGGAATTGAGGAAGAGAATTAGGAGCATCAGGACTTAATGTAAGTTTCTCTGCCAATCTAAAATTGTTTCCTCGTATTATATGCTTATTATGCATTATGTGAATAAGTGTGAATTGTTGAATTTTGTGTATGAGAATTGTGAAGAGATATTATGTATATGGTTGTTGAGAAATATAAATTAAGTACTTTTGGGGTATTAAATATTTTTAAATACCTTCAAGACTTTTTAGAGAATTTAAGAAGTATTTTTGAAGTATTGTTAAGCGAAGATAAAATTTACATTTTTATAAGAAGTGAGCATCTCGGGAGTAATCCGGGGTGTCGGTTTTCCACATCCGGATAAATGTGGGGGGTGATTAGGTTTGCTACTACTAAGAAGTACAGTTTGAGTTTAAAGTGATATTTGGATCGATGATCCCTTTTAAGAAGAAGTTATGGTAGTAGTAATCCCTAATCATTCAAAATATCTTATTCAGGGGTAGTTGGTAGACTGAGTCCCGACTACTCGTTACGACTTACTACTCGGGGGGCTTGGAATCCCTTTTAGGGGGTGTGCACACTTAAGGTAGTCGTTTCGTTTCCAACAGAGCAGTTGTGGTACCGGCACTTGTTCGGGGTGGCCGTCCGTAACCACGGTCCATCGGGCTCTACCGAAAGGTTGAGCACCGCCCTTCTAAATTACTAGGAAGTTAGAGAAGAAGTGATTTTTGAGGAAATCAAAGAGAAGAGTTATTATGAAGTTTTATAGAGAAGTTGAGGATTTTTGTAAAGAAGTGGTCTTGAGAAAAATCAAAGTGAAAAGAATTTCGATGGTGTAAGTATTTTTATATATTATTATATAAAAATCTATTTTAGTCAAACATGATTATTTTACGGGGTTGGGTAGTACTTACTTAGCTCTAAAGCTAATTTTTGTTTTCTTTTCCTTGTTTTGTTCTACACTTTATTTGTGCAGGTGAGGTTGATTCTGTCGATTGATGATTTCTTGCATGACCCGAGAGCGAGTTAGAAGTCGCCTTAGTTATACTAGTCATGAAATAAACATTTACTTTACAAACACTTTATTTTATTAAATTACTTGTTATGTTTTAGTTGCCTGTGCATCCGGTTGAGAGATGACCGGATGTGGCGGTAACACCCATTTCCCTTAATAAGACTTCCGCTGTACTTTCTTTAACTTTTCATTATCAATAAATAAAAGTTTTATTTCAACTATGTCAACGTTTTGGGTGGGAAATTTGGGGGTGTTACATTGATACAGGCAGGCCATCTGTCTCAATTCGTCAGGGGCCCTCCTCCTCAAGGTACCCCTCATCACCAAGGGCCCCCGCAGAAGGCCAATAAGTGGGTTAACCCAAACACCATCCCTTTGGGAAATCCACAGGGGAAGAAGCGTGAGATTGGGAACCTCAGTGAAGAGGAAGATCCCAAGCACCAATACAAGCGCCACCTCCACATGATCAACGGAGGCAACACGAGGTGACTCCACGAGCCAAAGGAAAAAATGGGTGCAAGCCCTTTACGTGGGGGAAGTCACTCATATGCCCCCCCGTGAAGCAGTTGAGGGAGGAGCCCATTATATTCACTAACACCAATCTCCCCTGGTTTCCTCTCCTCACAGGGACGCGCTGCTTATCCAAAGTGAAATCAACAATACCATCATCCACAGAACTTACGTTGACACGGGCAGCTCCGTCAACGTAATGTACCTTAACACATTTAAGGAGCTGTTTCTGGAGAGGGAGTCCCTCCGGCCCATCCGGACCCCTCTGTCCGGCTTCACCGGGGACACCATAGATTCCGAGAGGGTGATAACCCTCTTGGTACTCTTCGGTGACGGGCTCCATAGAGCCAAGCTCGAAGTGGAGTTCGTCGTCGTCAACATCGACTGCGCTCACAACATTATCCTCGGTCGGCCTGCCCTCGAGGACCTGGAGGCAATTATCTCCATGAGGCACCTATGCCTTAAGTTCCCAGCTGAAGGGGGCATCGGGTACTCAAGGGGAACCAAAAACTCGCACGCGCCTGCTACCTCCAAATAACGAAGAAGGTTAGAAAGATCGAGTTCCGTGTAGATACCATCACCGGAAGAGTAGAAGAAGATGAAAAGAGGCCGAGGGCATAACCAGTTGAGGAGGTAGAAGACTTTGCACTCGATCCGGCCAAGCCGGGGAGAGTCGTGAAAATCGGAGCCAAGCTCCCTGAAGATTTGAAGACCGGGATCACGGGTGCCCTCCGCGCCTACTCACTCACCGCCTGGCGGTGGACCCTTCATCCAAACTTGTGCAACAGAGGAGAAGGCCCCTCTCAGCCGAGAGGAGGGACTTCGTAAAAAAAGAGGTCACCATGCTCCTCTCCAACAAACACATAAGGGAGGTGAAGTACCCTTCATGGCTAGCTGACGTGGTCCTCGCACAAAAGCCACCCACCTTCCGCATGTGTGTAGACTACACAAATCTGAACAAGGCATGCCCTATGGATCCTTTCCCACTAGCAAACATTGATCAACTGGTAGATGAGACAGCGGGTTGCATGTGAAATCATGTCCTTCCTCGACGCCTTCCGCGGGTATCACCAATCTACATGCATGAGGAAGACGCGGAAAAGACAGGCTTCATGACACCCGAAGGCATCTTCTGCTACCTGGTCATGGCCTTGGCCTAAAAAATTCAGGCGCCACCTACATCCGGATGGTGACCAGGGTCTTTCAAGTCGTCTTGGGATGCACCATGGAGCCCTATGTCGATGACATGATCGTCAAAAGTAAACAATCATCAAACCATGTTGACGACCTCCGAGAGATCTTCACCATCATGCAAAAGTTTAACTTTCAGCTAAACTCGAAGAAGTGCACCTTCGGAGTGCAGGGAGGCAAATTCTTGGGCTATATGGTGAGCCGAAGGGGTATTGAGGCCAACCAACCCCGAGAAAATCCAGGACATCATCGACATGGAGCCCCCACGCAACGTAAAGGAAGTCCAAAGGTTGACGGGCTGCCTGGTAGCCCTCAACCGCTTCCTATCCAAATCAGCAGAGAAGGCCCTTCCCTTCTTCCAAGTGATGAGAAAGACAGTCGGCTTCCAATGGACACAGGATGTCAAGAAGCCTTTGAAGAATTGAAAAGGTACCTGTCCTCACCCCCCATGCTCTCCAAACCCAAGGTGGGAGAAACGTCGTACCTTTACCTCGGCGTCAGCCCCGCAGCCATCAGCTCAGTCCTCACCCGAGAGGAGGATGGCGTCCAGCATGCCATCTTCTATGTTAGCAAGACCCTCAGGGAAGCAGAACTCAGGTACTCTCCCGTGGAGAAGATAGTGCTAGCCATCATTTGGACCGTCAAAAAACTGAGCCACTACTTCCAGGATCACCCAGTACAAGTGCTCACACACCAACCCCTCGGCGCTCTCAGGAGGAGCCCCACCAGCTCCTCTAGAATGGTGAAATGAGTCATCTTCCTCAGCCAATACAATATAGACATTCGTCCGAGGCCCGCCATCAAGGGCCAAGCCCTGGCGGACTTCGTTACGGAATGCAAGGCAAGGGAAGCGGTGGACGAAGAGCCCCTGACACCTTTGGATGAGTGGTGGACTCTATACACTAACGGCTCCTCAACCGCCAAGACATACGGGGGAGGCGTGGTCCTCATTACACCTGAAGGCTTCCAGGCCTATTATGCGATCCGTTTCTCCTTCAAGGTGTCTAACAATGAAGCGGAGTATGAAGCCCTCCTCTGTGGCCTTCGGCTAGCAGCAAACCTGAAGGCCAGACAAATTCACGTCAAGTGCGACTCCAAGATGGTCGTAGGCCAAATTTCAGGAGAATATGAGGCAAAGGAAGGAAGGATGAAGCAATACAAAGAAGCGGCCAAGGAGTTGCTTAATGTATTTGAGGCGCACTCCCTTACTCAAATACCGAAGGCTCAAAATTCCGAGGCCGATATCTTATCCAAGCTCTTGGATGAATCTCCGGAACACCTTTCCAAAATTGCGAGGATAGAGGAGCTCAACCTCTCAAGCATACACGCCAACCCCGTCATGAACGTACAACAAAGGCCTGAGGGTTGGATCTCATATATCACCAACTTCATCACCACAGGGCAACTGTTCGAAGATGAAACCTGCACAAAACTAACAAAGTTGAGGGCTCCCAGCTATGCCCTTGAAAACGGAAGGCTCTACAAGCGATCATACAATGGCACGTTGCTTCGGTGCCTTCATCAGGATGAAGCCGAGGTTGCAATGGAGGAAGTACACAGTGGCACTTGCTCAGCTCACCAGGGACCCTTCTCCATGTCCCGAAGGCTCATAGTACAGGGGTAATTCTAGCCTACGATGGCCCGGGATTGTGCGGACCTCGCCCGAAGGTGCACCGCCTGCCAACACTTTCAGAAGGCTCCCGGCAGGTCAGCGGTCAACTATGCCCCCATTAGCACAACAATACCCTTCTCCAGCTGGGCATTGACCTTGTAGGCCCATCAATAGATACATCATCGTCGCCATTGACTACTTCACCAAATGGGTGGAGGCTGAGCCCCTCACCAGCATTACCGAGGCCAGGCGCCGCCATTTTGTCCTCAAGAACATCCTCACAAGGTTTGGCGTCCCCCAACAAATCATCTCCGACAACGGGACTCAGTTTGAGGCCGCCCCCTTCTGTGCCCTCCTAGAGGCATGGGGCATCAAACACACATTCTCATCAGTTGCCTACCCCCAGGGCAACGGCCAAGTGGAGAATGCCAACCGAACTTTTCTTGAGGGATTAAAAAAGAAGCTAGAGGTCGAAGGGGGAGGCTAGGTAGAAGAACTGCACAACATCGTATGGGCCTACCGCACCACCCCTAGGAGGATGACCGGCGAAACACCATTCTCCCTGTGCTATGGGTTCGAAGCTAAAGCCCCCAGGGAGGTAACTCTACCAACCCGAAGGGTAGATCAATATGAACCTGAGGTCAATGACAACAATATGGCCCTCGACCTTCACCTCATCTCGGAACGTCAAGAGCAAGCCTTCCTAAGGGCAAAGAACTATCGGAGACAAGT